ACGAAAACAGCTAATCAGGTCGAGGTGGAAAACAGATTTCCCTAAGTACATGTTGCGAAACCGGACAGATTCTAACAGCCGGTAGCAGCAGGTGGCGAGCAGTGTATTAGAACTGAGAACTATATGCCATTGCTGTCCGTAATGAGATTATGGCACGCTTCATCCCTAATAATCATCCTGTGCCTTGAGCAAACTTGTGATGTGGCCACCAGGTACAGGCCTCTCGATTTCCAGGTCTCTTCGGCTGTGAAGTGGAGGAAAACATTGATTAAACAATATGTCAATGCTAAATTAACTCTCTTTTTTTTAGCAGGATGTTTTAGTAGCCGTGTTGTGTTTACCTGTTGTAGGACTTGACAAAGAGTTGCAGATTGAACTGGTTCATGTCATTCACAATGTGGTGACGGTATCTGCCAATGAGGTCATGGTTCTGCTGGATTTCCTCCTGGAGAAATAAGAAAAATATTATAACATTGATGTTACTATAGATTCAGCAATTCAAAAATTATCTAGAGGGGGGTCAAACATTGACTAACCTTTCCAAACAGGTGAGAGATGATCATGTCAGGCATGGCGTGAGTCCAACCAGAAATCTGTAATTCAAGATAAATGAGCCCACAACAGAGTAAAACTCTATATAACTTATGAATTTGATATAAATTACAATCACAAAGTGGTCAGCACTCACTTTGTGTGCTGCCCAGTCCATCCAGCCTTCAGCACATGGGTTGATGTTTATTAGCACAAGGCCTTCCACCATAGCAGGGTAATCCAACTATAAAAGGAAACAGTTTTTGTATACCACATCTAAAGCCCAGTTTATTAAATAAACAACCCGCAAGTCAAGCAGATTTTTTTTTTCACACTGGACACTTCTCAGCAGCTAAACTAGCTAAATGAATACCAAAATCCACAGGAAAAGAAACACTTTTAGCTCTTTATCCTGGTTTGATTAAAACTTTAAATCACTTAATAATCAAAAAGGAAGTCAAACTCACTGCAAACTTAGCAAGGATATAAGCACCCGCTCCAATAGCCATGCCGATCACACTCTTCAGCCTGTGGGGTTTAGGAAAATTAGTTAAGACAGAAAATAATCTGAAATCTACCTAAAACTTAAATAATTAAGCAATCAACTCACCCAAAATGTTTAAGGATTGATGGAAGAGTCTCAGACAGTTGGTCCATGGAAGGGTACTCATATCTATAAAAAATTAATTCTTATTCTTCTGCATTAATTTACAATAAAGATGTCCACTTATATGTCTATACGTGATGTACATAATATCTGTGTGTGTACTGTGTAAATTTATTATGTATATATAAATACACACTCATGCATGTATATTTAAGAAAAATATGTTACATTTATATATTAAATATATTTATATATAATATAAATTATATGAATAGAAATATATACATGTACATATTTTCAAAATATATACTGTATGTGTAAAACAAAAATTCAAAAGCTTTTATGGCAACAAAATATTCTATGGGGGGAAATTATCTATAAGTTTTTCACAAATGCCTAACCTTGTAGTTTAGCTATATCTGAAATGATGTCTCAGACTAAAAACTAAAGCAAAACAAACACAGTTAAGCTAGCTTTGCAGGCCAGAAACCCACTAGTTTAGTTAGTATATGTCGCACTGTTCGTAGCCTATTTGTTTCCCCCACTCTAACTTACTCTACTTTGTTGACATATGCACGTGCAACCACACATGTGTGTGTGTGTATGTATGCATGTATGTATGTATATATGTATGTATGTATGTATGTATGTATGCATGTATGTATATATATGTGTGTGTGTGTGTGTGTGTATGTATATATATGTGTGTGTGTGTGTGTGTGTGTGTGTGTGTGTGTGTATATCCCTAATGTAACATTTAAAACAAAAATTCAAAAGCTTTTATGGCAACAAAATATTCTATGGGGGAAAATTATCTATAAGTTTTTCACAAATGCCTAACCTTGTAGTTTAGCTATATCTGAAATGATGTCTCAGACTAAAAACTAACGCAAAACAAACACAGTTAAGCTAGCTTTGCAGGCCAGAAACCCACTAGTTTAGTTAGTATATGTCGCACTGTTCGTAGCCTATTTGTTTCCCCCACTCTAACTTACTCTACTTTGTTGACATATGCACGTGCAACCACACACACGCGCGTAGCACGATAAACAACATATTAAAAACGTAATCATAATCATAAACGGTGACTATACCAGCGTTTATTGGTGTCAGATGTTTAATTAAAACATTTTATACCGGATATCTTTAGTTCAAAGCTGATAAATGTACCTTGTTCGATATCATGCCAGATATGTTTTAGATAAGGACTGCGGTTTTATTCGATACAGAAATAATCAACATTTTAACATTAAAACGAATTTGAAAGAATAAAATAGCACTTTTGATGACTTACCGGTTAATTGTCCACAAAATGAAAACAAGAAAATCCAACAAAACTAAAACGTTTCTTCAGAGCTTGAGAGTTAAATCTGACTACGTGCTGCTCGCGACAGGATGTTGCAGGCAATTTTATAAAGATGTGTTTAGTCAGTCCTGCCCACTCCTCCTTCTATTGGGCAACCTCACTGAGTCATGCCTTCCTTTCACAGCATTGCATGAGATATGAAAACAGTGTTCACTTGAGAAACTGTCTTAATCTTTCACATTACAATAAAACTTTTAAGATAAGCTATTGACTTTAGTGGTATTTGTACACACCTGTGTTCTTCCGTCCCTGCATACTGGCATTTGCTGTAAAAAGTCATACAGAATAATCTCAAAGCTAGTTATTGTTTTGAATCAATAAAGTATTGTTCAGAGAAGTGCATGTGCATGTGTCTATGCGTGTGTGTCCTCTCTAACAGCACAATGCTTTCACTGTGGTAAGCTAATATGAGCCAGTGATAGCAAGCACATTCACAATGGACACATTGCACAGAAACTACCATTATGCTGATCAACTCTCAAGCACCATTTACACCACAAACTGAATTAGACGGCAGAATAAATGCAGAAAGAATTTACGTCTAAAGTTATGTTCAGCATGAGAGACTTTTCATAAATCAAAACTGTCATAAGATCAGAGTTATTTTTAAGTTGTTTGATGTAAAGATGGGCATTTGGCCAGGTGAAATTGTGTTGTGGAAAAATACTGAAACAATTGTTGACTAGATAAACTTTTATGATTTTAAGATTTATAGGCAAAATGCATATCGAATCAAAGAGTTGACTGCTTGGCTTAATAAACTGGGTTAAAGAGAATAATACTGATAAGGATTGTGGACTTTCACCTGACAGGTTCATATCTCTGTGTACTCACGGAGTGTTTCTCATGGAGTCTGGTGCTACACAAACTTTTAATCATCCACTACTGATTCTTAATTCTTATAATAATTTTACAAATCTGGAAAAATAAACTAAAATAAATTTAACACATACAGCTATAAACAACAACGACAAAAAAAAAATACTATCTTACTTGCAGCCATTTCAAATTAAATATTATACCACACATTTTAAAGGATGTCATTCTGTTATGTCAGACCTTTGAGTTAAATTATGACTTATTTGAGGGTCAAATGTGTACATCTCTCACCTTTCTGTCAAGTCTCTGTTTTGCACTGAATCTGGGTTCATGACATTGGGTTCTATTCGTGTCCTTGTACTTGAAATACAGAGCAGGTTTCATCTTAAACACCTCATATCTGGTTTGCACAACATGCAGGTTATTGGATGTCTCGAAAAGAACAGATAAACATTGACCTCCCTCTCCCTACAGGCTCTTGGCATCAGACAAATCAAAAGAATAAAAGGAGGTTCAAAACCAAAGGCCGTTTTCTTTAGTGGCCATCCAAAAACAGGACAAAACAGTAATTATGTTATAATTTAAACCACGCAGACATGCCCACATCATCCGAATGAACATTACGGCTGGTATTGGCACACTATGTAACAGTATAAAAGGCCTACACACCTTCCTTTCAGGTACTGAAAGGTCAGTGGGGGCTAGTTTGATGTAGAAATGTTGACTGACAAGTGTATAGTAGATTCTTGCCTTTGTCCCTTGCTGACTTGTCTAGGTCTACAACGTGCCACCTATTCACAAACCAATCATTTTCCTGTTAAGGCATTATTTTACACTTTAAACTACATTAGTCAAACAATAAATTCATAATTATATATTAGTAATACCCCAGTCATCCTGTTTCAAACCTCTGTCTAACATGCATACTCACAATCAGCTTAAACTGCATTAAACTGCTTCAGTGCAGATGCAGTATGTGATGCAATAACCGTAGTCAGATGTAGTATGAATCATACTAAGCCGTGATTCAGATGCACATGACATGAGACAGCGCTCAGGACTGTCTGAGATGTAGGCCTCACCTCAACATATCACGTAGTTCCTCAGAGCGGGTGCTACTCAGTTCAATGTCATGTATTACTGATTTACTAAAAGGGATAATAGGACGACTTCAAAGTTACACAGTGACAATAAATACTATTTACGGTGCATAATGGGACTGTTAAAGCACTTTGTGGTCATTTTTATAAGTATTACGCAATGGATAAATCTCCAAAATGTGATGGTTTCATTCACAATGAAATAAACCAGATGCAGAATTAGGTCATGAAGTAGATGGTCAATAAATGATGAACTAGGTAATGATGTGCCAACGCAAACTCTTACCAGTATGATCAAAGTATTATGGATTACTCATTAACGTGTGTGCGACTCATAAACAGACAGTATAAACAAGCACATGCAAAATAACTTAAGTTTTACCCCCAGCATATTACAATTACAAAAAACCTTGACTATTTATCAACTGTGAGAAGGATTTTGCTATCAATTTATTGGTGTCACTGTTATATGTATAATATTTTTAGAGGTCATTTCTGACTGAAACTTTTGTATCTGATTTTCGATCAGTTTATCAGTCCTTGTCAGTGGAACAACAATTAGAATCGCACTTTACTGCTCATTTCACTTTGATGCTTAGGATGATAAAGTTACTCAATAACTACAGCCATAACTTTTAGGGCATAATTCTCTACTGTGAAAAGAAATGTTTAGTTTTCTAACTACTTTCTATACTAATATTACACAAATATTCCAAATTTTCTACTAAAATAATTGCAATCATAAAACCCTTATAAACATTTCCCTCCCTCCGGGCTTATGCATTTTCTGTGAGAAGTGCTAGATATTCCAGTTGTTTCTTCATTTCTCGCAGCAGTTTTATCCAGACACACACCAAATAAATAAACCACTCTGCGTGAATTATTTTTGCAGCTTCATCTTCACAAATTTGTGAAAGTGGGTTGATTTCCACCAGAGCTACTTTCTCCTGATACAGAGGGATCACCTGCATGAAAACTCCTTCTGCTCCATCATGTCCACTTTACTCTGACCTGGCAACATGGTTGCATTCCTGCTACAGGTCATTGCCTCTGCTGATAAGATGCAACCAATTACTGAAGTGGAAAATTGCTCTGACCTGACTTTGTTTTGTTTTCCATGAAAATAACCTTTAAAACAGGACCTAAACTCATTCACTAACAACTTGCCGAAGGCGACAGTGCAAGGTAACCAGCCACCATCCTGTCCAAACTGAATCTTTAGGTTTCAAATATTGCTTGACTGCAAAACAACAGCCTAGAAAAGTGCTAACTATTCTTGTCAGGCATGAATTGACAACATACATAACGGAGTATAGTATAGGCCTACTCATATTTCCATGTATTTTATTAGATGGGGAAACTGTTCCTGTGAGTGCAAGCAGGACCGCAGCACCACAGGAGCACCACAGATATTGATATTGCTGGAAACAGGAAAACTGAGTTTGGAATTTCTGTAAAAACAATTCAGAGATTCACCTTCGGCTTCATCTTCCACAGCTGGAGAGGCTGAGTTCACATCACAGGCCCCTCTGGCCGAGTCTGTGTAGTGATTGAAAACTGAGTGCCTGACAAATCCCATGTTGAAAATATCACCTATACGTTGCTGAGAAGTTCAAAAGAGATGTTTTGCTCTTCTGCAAAGCTCATGATTTACAGTGCTTATAAGAATAAACACTGAAAGAAAGATTTAAATAAATATACAATGAAGAAATGACTTACCCACTGTTTTTTTCAGTAGGCTAAACCTAAGCCAAAGGCAGTGGTAATAATTACTCCATTGCTGAGCTAGATAATAGACACAGCTGCCTTTCTAGGGCAGTGTCTCTGTTAATCATTTTATCCACCTTTTGACCTTATAATCAGTCATAAGACTTTGGGCAATTTTCCTCTCCTGTCCACACAATATGCTCACAGCATCAAAACAAAAGCACATGATCACATGATCATAAACCCAAATTAACTTATTTTCTAATGAAAGGTCAAGTCTGTATCTGAAAATATATTGAGGACAATAAATAAATAATCTCGTTCTTTTCTTTTTTTCTTTAATTTGTCATTTTTTAAATCAAGCATCATAGGGTTAACATGATGCAACCGTCATGTAAAAGCCCTTGGCCCACCCACCCATGAGATGTAGAAACACCGAAGAGACTTTAAACAGTGCACTCAGCCCAACCAGCGCAGCGTAAACCACCTGTACCACACTAGCGAGGAGCGTCTCAAACGTGGATGTCCTCACGTACTCACGAAGACGTGGCCAACGTGAGTGACAGCTGCGTCTGTGATGGGCGGGGCTTACTTGGACGGTGCGTAATAAGGATGATTATATTCTTACGTCATTGTCGCTGGTCATGAAACAAGACCGTAGTGTCAAGACTGGTTAGATTATACGACTGTTTTTAGAGGAATTCATGTGTTAAAAGAAATGTTTCAAAAATATGCAAAATTCTTCTGTAAAGTGTTAATGTTTGTTGAAATGTACTTTGCCTTGAGGGATTTAAACTGTTTGATACCAAGACCCCTAAAGTAGGCTATGCGAGGCAGCGAGGGACCACCTTCCTGAAATATATAGCTAGTAGGTAGCCTATATATTAATGTATAAACACCCATTATACTGTGTGAGAAACATGTTAAACATGATATTATGTATAGACTAGGCTACAACATAACAAATTTTGTTTACAAAATTAAATGACTGCATTTTTATTGTCTAATATTAATATTTAGAGTAGTTTGCGGTGCTAAATATGTCAAGTTAAAGAGAAACATTATCAAATTAAAATATTGTGAATATTGTTAATAATATTGTGAGCAACTGAAGTCTAAAATCTGAGAAGCAGTAACCTAAATCCCATTCCTTTACGTGGTGATGTAAAACTTGAATCATAGTTTTCACGAGAGTGAGATGCTGCTGTCGTGTCTCCTGTTGGCTGCTGGTGCATTCACTGCATTTATCTAGTAACAATTACAACATTTAGCCTACATTTATTCATTTAACAGACGCTTTTGTACAAAGCGACTAACAAATGAGGACAACAAAAAGATCTAGCTATCATAAAGAGACGAATAAAACACGAGAAGTGCCCGTAATACAACGTTTTAGACAT